TCATCCCGGATAAATGGATCCTAGCAATTCTACTCCAGATAAACCGAGGTTTACGATACATTACGCTACCATTCTACACTCTCTGATAAATACTATAAAATTACTCACTTCTGTGTAACACTAGCGTCAACTAGACTTTACAAGATTTCTACGTCAACAAAAACTTACGATTTGATTACGGGATAAACAGTCGTACGAACAAGAACATATTTAGAGTAGGTCGTGGGTACAACCAAAAACGTATCGATTCCGAGACATAGGAGTAAGGGGAAAATCACTGATCGGTTCACAAACGTCTGAACACTGAAGAGTATGTCTTCTTGGCGGGTTAGAAGACAAGGATAATCATACGAACAAACAAACAGACACTCTTGAGATCAGACGACGACGAGGAAGAGCACAAGAATGGTGACAACGACAATCAGGCAGATGATTATCATCACCTTTTTCTGTGAACAGAAAAGTACAACAACAATTAACATTTCACCCACGTTTTTTGCTCCTAAGCCGTTAAACAAAATGTAAGAAATAAATTATTCACACTATTCCCATCACAGCCAAACAATATGTTTATTCAGGACATGTTTTGGTTTTAGAACACCATCGTCAGCTTCGGAGAATTTTTTTAAATTTCTTTTTTTTTTGCGCTGGTGATGGTGATATAACACCGTAACATGTCCTGATTAAGCATATGGTTTGAGCTGTCTGTCGGGAATTGCGTGAGTAATTTAGCCTTTCAAACAATGAAGGTAGTGACAAGATAGACCAGAATGTAATTGTTGAAGTGAATATAAACTGGAACTTGTAAACTATGGAGAAGACACCTAGGAACTGTCTCACCTAGGAAAGGTCAAGTCAATTGATAGCACAAAGAGTTCACAACATTAAACTTGATATTTCGCCACAAATGTAATGGAAGGACAATATTTAGCATTAGAAATCTACTTTGAATAACAAAAAATGATTAAGCTTAGTATGTGGTGAATTTTTAATCTGCTATCAACTGTCTGCAACCTTATTCTCGAGTCAGTTACTCGTGTATGTGCTCCTTCTTTACTGTATTTTCCAAACCAAGGGGTTTTTCTTTAAAAATCCCATCAATTTGTCATTTTCTACAAAACTCAAATTAAATTGTATTGTTAAATTGTGATTTTATTTATTTTCCAAGTGGCAAGAACTAGAAACTTGAATTAGTTAAGTTACCTTTAACAGCCGTTGTTCTTGCAAAGTTTGTTCCTCCAATATATGTCGCCATGAAGGCTGTAGAAATTATGTATTTACATTGTATATACTTTAGACTATATACACAGCGGCACAAAATTGTTGAGTTTATGTGGCGACATCCTCACAAGAACTAAAATCTCCCTCAAGCACATCGTGGCAAAATATATTGGAGTAAACTACAAATTCTGCAAGAACAAAGGCTACTAAACAATGTAACTTAAATAATTGAATTGAATCTTGATTCCAGGGTACTACAGTGTATGTAGATATAGCGTGACGTAATCTTTGAATCTAATAAAATCTATAATCTAAATCTGATCTTTCTAGCAGAATCTAAGTACAATATTCTATTCTAAACTACAGTGCTGCTACTCTAAACTAGCAGTGCTTAAAAGTACTAAAACTCAAAGAAGGATTTTAATTTGACTTACGTTTTCATTTATTTTAAATATTGTTTTAGCCCTATTCGTGTTAAGGAGTTTTCCAAGCAAAAAACTATTTCATTAATATCATAAGTTAAAATTTATTCAAATGTGTATATACTAATGCATAACCTTTTACTTTTATTTGTTTTTATGTAAGATAATATTTTGACTATATTATATTTAACGACTTACCTCATAGAAAATTTTAGATATTATAAAAATGTATCCAATCTGTGAAATTGTATACCTTAAACATGTCTGTATCAAAATTTAGGACTGTTAGAAACAAAAAAAATGCTGTAAATTTGAGCTTTGAGTCAATAAAGCAGTATTTCAATAATTTTTCACTGATGACTAGAAAAAGTACCGGTACACGCTTGTTGGAAATCACATTGATTGTTGTATTAGTTGTACCATTAATTTAGATATCTTCTTGAGTCTCAAACAAAATTTAAAAGTGAGGTATGAATAATTTAGATATCTAATATAAATAAGGTCGATGTGTTCTAACGCATATTTTCAGGTAACTTTTGCAGGTAAATAAATTTGTATCTCAGACAATATAATAAACAAAAGTTTAAAGTTTATCATCCTTCTTGATCTTCATTAACCAAACATATTATTACAAAACATATTATTAAAGTTGAAAATAACTGCTTTGATATATCTTTTTCACAGTTTCATAGCTAAATCATGTCACTAATATTTACCAATCAATATTTAATCACAACAGTTGAAAACTAAAATTGATCGTTATCATTGAATGAAAACTTTGAAAACAAGTTTTCAACTGACAAAATCACATTCTTTGTAATTGAAAACGTTTTAGCTGAGGTAAAAAGAAGCCTTTAAACTTCAGACACAAATTAATGTATTTATAATATCAAGGACAAAAATTATCTAGAAATTGTTTACCTTATCCAAAAATATACTATACAGTTAGATAGGTTATTGGGGTTACTACTCTACAAAATAATAACACAAATCTTTGCAGAAGAAGAATATATTAGATAAAAGAGACATGCAACACTACACTACTCTAAACAGCTTGCATTTCCTTTATATCGATTGTTCTTTGGTAACAAAACTATTATGTAATAATACTGTAGCGACAATTGTTCGTAGAATGAAGAGTTGAACCATAGGTCATGTCATAAACCAATGAAAGAAGCCCTGGGCAAACAAAACAATTAACTCAGGTAAAAAATTCAGATTTCAAAAATGTTCAAACAAATTATCAAGTCATTAGAAACCTAAAAAATAAGGATATAAGTAATAATCTGGGACTTAAAGCAACAAGGATTTTCCTATTGACATCTCTTTTTCACCTTTTCTACTCAAGTGATTTTTACAATTAAGATGTAACGTTGAAGCTTAAAATTATTTAAAACGTTCACATCTAGCGTAGGGGTGAATATTAATTGTAAAAATAATTTCCTTTGGGGCTTCACCCCTCCTAGTCTTTGATTTATTAAAAAAATATTTAACCAAAGTCAGATAGTAAGCAAGAGACAAAGATTATCATAAATTAGTAGTCTTATTTATCAAAAAACGAAAAAACTATGTTTAAAATATAATTTGGTAAAGGTAAAAGAATATTGCTTTTTTTGTTTTGCCTCAGAAAACCTTTGAACCTATTAAAATGAGAAATTTGCACACGGGTTCTCTCATTCTGATATATTTTAATAAAACTTCTTTGAAATTACTTCTTGGTTTTTAATTTAGGTTATTGCTTCAACATAATAATAATATAGAATGTCAATCCATATTTCTGAACTATAATAACACATTATGTGGACTTTTTGAACCGCTGCAATAAATAACAAACCATTAAAACATTTAACAAAAGTAATTGCACCCTGTTTAATTGACTTGCTGTTTTTTTGCAACTGTCATTAACATACATGAACAAATGTCTGTACCAATACTAGTTATAGCATAGACTTAACAAATTAAAAACGTTTCCTTAAATTGAGGATAAGGAGCGGATGACAAAGAAAAGTGCAATATAGAAAGCATTGCTGCATTAGACAAAAAGGGAAATTACAAGGACACAAATAGTTAGTTACATGTGCTGTTTTTAACATTTGCAAGGGGTTCAACTATTATTTGTGCAATTTCTCCACTTCACTTGGTTTTTAGTATCTTTCATAAATCGGCAAACATAAAAGCCACATCATTTACTTAATAACTTCTTGATCAGCATTGTACTTGTTATTAAATTTACGGAAAGTAAATAAAAGAAACGTCTTATAACACTTAAAACATATATTTACGCTTATACTGTTACTCACAAGACAGTAAATATACAAAAAAGATGGTAAGTGGTGATTGATTTCGATTGGACACTCCAATCATCATCAGACCCAATAGTTCCTTCGCAGTAAGAAAAAAGTAACAAAACATTTCTGCTGTAAACAGTTCTAACGTACTTATTAATTTCCATGTAGGCCCTATTAATAATCATGTAGGCCCTACATTATCATTTATTAAAGTATCATTTACTTAACAAATTTTTGGAGAACGCATCTTTTAAACATTATTATGATTGAACTAATGAACAGTTTTAAAAAATGGATTTTTATGGGCTTCTTTTATCGATACAATTGGAACCAGATTTAGGTGGATAAATAATTTTATATAGATCTCTTTGTAGTTTAAATCTACAACCAAGAATTTAATTTCTTTTAAGAAGTAGTTTTATTTGCCGAATACTTACTCTTAAACAAACATAATCTTGGAAAGGTAAAAGGTGTGTTGCACTATTAGCTTTGCATCGGTCATGTGTGCAATTAGCGTTCACTGCTCAGGTTCCCTCGTTTCTATTTAGAATCTGTATGTTGTCCAAAAAACAAAAATTAGCTATTGGTCAACGTTCTGACCATATCTTAGAGAGATTACTTTCAAGAAATTTCAACCAGTCTTACACAAGCGTGCTCAAACAACAAGGTGAAAATGCAAGCTGTCGAGTAAACATATACTAATAGCAACGTGTAGGAGGAGTTACCTTTCTGGCCTTGTTCGAGTAATCTTCGGCAACGTCGAGTTCCGTCTTGCCCTTGCTCACTTGGTATTGCGTGTTGGCGACATGATGTTCTATCCTGTCCACCAGCTCGCCCTAGGGGAGGGGAACACCGAGGAAGAGAAGAGAAAGAGACAGAACGATCAAGCAACACCCCGAACACACCCATGTTAGCGACATTTAGTGAGACATTCGTTAGTCGACCAGTGAGAGTGGGAGAGGAGGAACGGAGGGGGGAGAAAACAAAATAAATTAGTAAAATAAAATTGGTAAAACAAAATTTGGGGAAAAACAAAAACGGAAGGCATCTGTCGGGACACATGACTCACCCGACGCGCTTTACTTTGGTACTTGAGTGCCTTTTTGGTATCCTGAGTGGCAGTTTGTACGTAGTCCACTGCGTGTTCCACGTGGTACTCGATGCGGTCGATCATCTCGCCCTACACCACCACCAAACAGACAAGCCAACACCGTCACTACATGTTTAAGTAGGGATTGATAGTGTGATGTGATACAAAGTTGATGATGAAGAACTGGGAGGCAGAAAGACCAAAATATGAAATAAACCTCAGAGGAATTTTTATCTGGACGATGTAATTACTAACACTCCAAATCTGTCCTGTCATGAAACTGTAACGTGCGCCAAGTGATATGAATAAAAGGACATTTGGAATCGGGAGCAAACTAATTAATTCACTAATTGTATTCATGTTGCAAAGAAAAACTGAGTATTGGCAATATACGTTTTAATTCTTAAAATGTTTTTTTTTTGTTCTCTACTTTTGAATTAGACTGATAAAGGAAAAATATGAAATAAATTCAAACAATTGTTGTATTTCTACCAACCAAGGAAATTTTATAAGGTCAATTAGGAGTGAAATTTTTAAACCATTGCTTGTACAATTTGATATCAAATTTCAACCAAGACGGCTCACTAATTAAAAATTTATAGGACAAAATCGACGATTAGCCAGATTTAAAAGTCAATTTTGTTAATTAAACAATTTTAGGTTGTGACTGTATGAACGCAAGTTGTATTTTAAAATTTACTACTTTTTGGACCGAGGTTTGTCTACCTCCCAGCATGTTTATGAGTTAATGAGACCAAAATGTTGACTTAAAACTAGTGTACAAGGTGATACAAGATGAAGAGATTACAAAGAAAAGAAAAAGAAAAGTTAGTAAGAGTACAACTTGAAAGGTTGAGAAATAAATCAGTTAACAATTTTGAACAAAATGTCTGACATACGTATGAACAATTAAAAAGTAATTAATGGTTATTATATAAGGTTCAAGGTTGTATAGCAAAAAAGAAATACTAAAAAAATACTAAAGTATATTAAACACTTTCTTATAAATATGATTGCAATATTACTTTTTACATTAGGAATTTTAAATCATTGACTAAGGATTTAGTTCAGACTTTGATTACTGATAGAACTTCAGAAACCAAAAGGCTTTGCTCCAGACTAAAATTTTAATCCACAATAGGATGTCGTAAAAGTTAAGCGACGCACGGGTACAGCAGTCAAATAATACTGAATATGATATACCAACTGAATAGAAAAATGTAATTTGAGTATAATAAGGAGTACACATTTCTACAAGAATGTTAAAACCATGGAATAAACCATATCAGTATCCAAAGTCAATGATAAAACCTTTTAGCATTGGCTTTTAATGAGTAGAAAATGAGGTTAGAACTGAAGTCTGAGAGAAATGTAATGGAGTCATTAATTGTTTAGAAGATAATTGAGCAAAGTGAATAGAATATTTCATAAAAAAGTGCTTCCAAGGCATCATTCACTTGAAATAAATGGAAATGTGCAAGAAAATTAAAACTGTTTTGAAGTAATTAACTGGTTAGTAGATTCTTAGCGATGGAGTTATTGTTAAGTTATATGCTTCAGAAAACCTTTAAAAATGAAAGATAAATAAAATATGTCCAATCTAAATTTAAGACTTGCAAATTAATCACAAAAGAGTCCTGCTAATCCAAACAAATTAAGCTTGAAAAAATTTTTTGTTAGGATGGAAAAATATGTGATTAAAGCGTAGTTAAATCTACATAACTGTACAACATAACTTCAAATATTATGTTTTCTTTACTTTTAAAGTAATTTTCCTTTTGGATTAGTGGAACTCTAATGTAGGTTAATTAAAATATAGATGGAAATAAGAGCTAAGTAGACTTTTTAAAACTTCATGATTATAAATAACACTGTAGAAAAGTTTTCACAGAAAAAGTACAAGAAAATATCAAGAATATGCTTACTACCAAGTACCCCAAATACAAAAATTGAAATGAAGTTTTTTTCAAAAATCCAAAATACCACCGTTTTGTAAATCTTCCAGCCAGCAGCCACCTATAAGCCAAAAGCAGTCCCCAAGCAAGCGGTATCACTGTACCTTAAGTTCAATCCATGGGGTTTTATGCCAAAATGAACACTAGATTGCTCTGATAGGACCAATAAAGTTGTCTCGGCCAACTGGTATGGAATGTAAATTATGTGTAAAAATATTATCGTAATGAATAACTAAAATAAAAGACCTAATTGTTTATAAATACTGTTATGATCTAAAATATGAGGGCTGTCCGTAAATTAAGGATGTTTGTTTCGTTAAATGGGAGCTCAAAGGAGACCATAATTTACGCACAACTCTCGTACAAGGAGTGGTCGAGTCCTCGAATATTAAGTAGTTACCTTGGCTTTTTTACAAACGCTTTATCAGAAGTCAAACAGTTCTAACTATCCAGAAAATTCAAGTTTTTAATAGTTCAGCAACTATATTTAATTAAGTAACATTTAGTACAAAAATAATATTTTTATTTAAGTTAATAAACTGTTTTGCCTCTATTCCTCGAATTAAAAAGGATTAAATTATTTCAAGTTATGCATCACACAATAAAAATATTTGTCACTCAGACTATTGTACCAATCATTGGTGATTTAGTCATTCGATGACTAAGATTCAACTAATACGTCCGACTAATTTAATCAATCCTCTTCGAGTAAACTTGACTTCGAAAAAAAATCAGAACTCGCCCACTCCTAATAAATACACACTCTATAAACATAAAACAAAATCATGCTAAAAATAATAAGTCAAAGAAATCAAATTCACCCTTTTTCCCATACTGTATTTTGATTATCTTCGAATAAGTAAGTAATCATATGTAACTTATTTAGGGAAATAAAAATAAAGCTGATTTGTTATTAACAAAAGAAAATAATATTTATCAATCCTAGAAGCATTTAAAAAAATGAATAAAGATCAAATTATCTTCACGGAGTTTTCATGTCACATATTGCAGGTCTTTGGGTGACAATTCTACCAAAACAGTTTAAATCACTTCAACAACCTCTATAGAGTGTCATCTCCGGGACAATTTAACTCTCCATTTGCTGAGAAAACTATCTATTAGCTATGTATTAGTTCTATCTGGTTTATGTTGGGTTCATTAGTAGATATAATACCAGAATATGACCCCACTTTCGGCGTTTTAGAGGCACTTTTAGGGCACTTTTTATAGGGGAAAAATGAGAAAAAAATGGAAGAGCTTTTTTTGGCCACTTTTTTTAAAGACCCAGCTCTCGACCTATACACCCCTATATAAATTTTCTACTTTTGTTAATACTAAAAATCACGCCTGGAAATGGTGAGCTTTTTTTGGCCACTTTTTTAAAGACCTGGATCTCGTCCAATACAAGCCTATATAAATGTTCAAACTCTATTAAAATTTCAAATCCACATCCATTCCCATGTATATTTTCAAAATCATGTGAGGTTTGTGCGTGAACTCGGGCACGCTTATGGCTCATGATGTGCTCCCTTGGACATCCTTAGTGGAAATCCATGAGTTCTGGCTACTTGGGAACCCAAGCCATTTGACATACAACGAATCACCCTTTCTCCTAATTACCTTCTCTACCAAATACATGTCCTTATACTTGGTCTTTAACAACTCCTCTGTATAGAAGCCTCCCCTGATTATATTGCCATTTTCATCTTTCAAGATATAAGTCACAGGCTTTGTATTCTTAACTTCTGCTATTGTAAATAGTTCCCCTGTCCAATTTGGAGTATAACCTTTACTAAAAACATGTTTATACTTGGAAATCCTTACGCTATCACCTACCTTATATCTTGGCTTTTTAACTTGCACTACTTTAGAAGTCAACCTCTCATGCACATATTTACTATTCTTAACATTCACTTGGTTAGGCTTCATTCCTATAGATCTATGCACTTTATTATTATATTTTCGAATTAACTTTGGAAGTAAATCCAACCATTTATAACTCCCCTGAGCACTAAATTCTCTATATAACCAATTCTTTAAAGTTCTCTGAAACCTCTCCACAATTGCAGCCTTAGTTGTAGAAAATGTGTGATAGTGATTAATATTTAATTTTTTCATTAGTTTGCTAAAATATTGATTAAAAAATTCTTTTCCATTGTCAGATTGAATGTTTTTAACCCCCTTTGGTAGAATGGTTTTAATGGCTTCTGTAACCACTAACCCTGTCTTATTCTTTAGTGGAGCAGCATAAGCTTTTTTAGAAAATGTATCTATTAAAGTTAAAATATATTTATTGCCAGAATTTTCTCTAGCATAGTTTTGCATATCAACTAAATCTATTTGTATGGTTTCGTTTATACCCAATACTTTAAAAGACCTTCTAATGAAATTCTTTCTTGCAGGCTTATGAAGCTCGTATGCAATTTCATTCATTTTTTATAACATCATCCTTTCCTGTAACTCTAAATACATCACCATTAGCCCCAATCAATAGATTATCTTCCATTCTTTTAAATACATAGTTTTCTGGTATATATGGTCTATTATCTATATACTTAAATCCACTCAAAGATGTGGGGTCAGCAACTAATAAATCAGGATTATATTCCATCAAATTAAAATTTTTTTCTCCATATACAAATTTTGATCCATCGTAATGCATAGATTGTGACATTAGACAAATATCATCCAAATGTTCCCCCTCTGGTAGATTTCTTATAAATTGTTTTTTGGCATCCCAACATTTTTCTTTTTTATCAAAAGTTATAGTCTGTTCTTTTATAACACAGTCAGTGTCATCAATGGCAGGTTTAACACGTACTAACCTTTTACTATTAAAACTCCAATAGCCTGCTTCCATTTTTGGAACTTGTGAAACATTCACAGCATCTTTACTATCTGTACCTTCCATCAAATTACTAATTTTCTGTTTCTTTGCATTCCAAACACCATTCTCTGATTCTAAAAATTCATAATTATTATCGTCTTGTATAAATTTACCATCTTCTTTTCGTATTAAAGTCTGTTGTAAAGTGGGCACATCATCTAAACTTTCACCCTTTTCTACATTAGTAATTTTCCGTTTCTTAGCATTCCAAATACCATTCTCTGATTCTAAAAATTCATAATTATTAT